TGCACTTGTTTGGATTCAGTCTGAGCTTGTACTCCTTCAACCTGACAAACAGCTTTTGTAAGTGATCAAGGTGTTCTTCTTTGGTTTGTGATCGAGCTATCATGTCATCTACATAGACCTCTATCTCATGATGTATCATATCATGAAACAAAGCTACCATGGCGCGTTGATAGGTTGCCCTGGCATTCTTCAGTCCGAATGGCATCACTTTGTAACAGAACGTACCCCATTGTGTAACAAAAGTAGTTTTCTCCATGTCCTCAGGTGCCATTTTGATCTGGTTATATCCTGAGAATCCGTCCATGAAAGAAAATACTTTGTGCTGAGATGTGTTGTCAACCAGGATGTCGATGTGCGGTAGTGGAAAATCATCTTTAGGGCTAGCCTGTTTAAATCTCTATAATCCATGCACATTCTGACTTTTCCGTCCTTTTTAGGCACGGGCACAATGTTAGCAACCCATTACGGATAAGAAGTAACAGCTAGAAATCCAGTATTGAACTGTTTCATAACTTCTGCTTTGATATTCTCTGACATGTCAGGTCTCATGCGGCGGACCTTTTGTTTCACTGGTGGACAATCTTCTCTTGTGGGGAGACGGTGTATCACAATATCTGTATCGAGTCCCGACATGTCTTTGTATGACCAGACGAAGATCTCAACATAATCATGCAATAGCTGAATTAGGCGCTCCTTGACACTCGGCTCTAGATTGGCACCTATCTTGATTTCCTTTTTATCATCCTCAGTACCCAAGTTGATTGTGTCCAACTGCTCCTCATGAGGCTGAATTGCTCTTTCCTCTTGTTGTAGTAATCTGGCCAATTCCCCTGGCACCTCACAATCTTCCTCACCTTCGTATTCGACTTGGTAAATCAAATCTTCAGAGTCACTGAAGGCTATAGCAGTATTGTTACCCATGGGATCCGGAATGGAAGGGTACCTGCATTTGTGAGTGTGGGTGTGTGTAAGGGTATAGTCATCTTAAAACAACAAAATGTAAAAGAAAGACAATGAGCATAAAAGTTTTATATATGAAAAAGCATCCATGATTCATTGAAATGACATATGAAAATGAAATAAGAACCCTTACAAATGGACCTATGTGCCTCGGGTAAGACACAAGGTTGAAAAAGTACGAATTGTTTGTGAAATATTACAGATCCAACAGAAATGGAAAAGATAAATTATTGCGGTATGAAAGTAATCAGAACAAAGTATTTTTCTCCCCAGTTGCATAGTCCTTCGCTGACAGTAGGAAATATCCAATCTTCCATGCTTCCCTCTTCTTCACTGTCCTATAGTGTATTAACCCCTTGGTGGCTGATCTTCACAGGTGGCCCTCCGGCACGGGAGCGGCGCACAGCCTTCTGACCAGTCGAAGTAAACCCCAAGCCGAATTTGTCTGATTTGAAAGGAAAGTCTGGGAGCTTCTCCCAGATGGTGGATCCCCCTTCTTCCACTACTTCTCTTGCATCCTTTAAAGATGACATTCGAGGTGGTGGTCTTATGATCACAGGAGTTGAGGATATCGCCTTGGTCGCCGCTATTTCTTCAGAGACTTCTTCAAAATGTTGGAAAGGGGTCTCTATGAATTCGCCATCTAACTCCACATAACGGAAGGAATTCAGATGACTAATCATATATTCCTCTTCCCCATGGACAGTTATAATCCTCCCTTGGACGGGGTACTTGAGCATTTGGTGCAAGGTGGAGGTGACGGCACCGGCATTGTGGATCCAGGGGCGTCCCAACAAACAAGAATAACAAGGACGGATGTCCATCACATAGAATGTCGAGTTGAAAACCTGAGTTCCTACCTTGATCGGGATGTCCACCTCCCCATGGACCATCCTTTTCGATCCATCAAAAGCTCTGACCAATATATTGCTGGGTTTTAGAGTCAGCCCCTCGCAATCCAATCTATCAAGGGCTTTCTTCGGAAAGACGTTCAGAGATGATCCGGTATCGACCAAGACATGAGCTAGGGTTGTTCCTCTGCACTCCACTGAAACATGTAATGCATCGTTGTGTTTTCTCCCTTTGGAGGTCAAGTCAGCATCGGAGAAACCCAGGCCATTGTCAACTGTCAGACTGGCTACATACTCTTGGAATTGGTCCGCAGACTTCTCTTGCGGCACGTGCGTTGTCTTTAGAAACTTGACCAAAGCTTTAGCATGTGCCTCAGAGAAAAGCAACAATGCTAACATAGAGATTTTGGAGGGGGTCTGCCCCAGTTGTTCCACCACATCATAATCACTTTTCTTAATGATCCTCATGATTTCTTCCATCTCCTTCTTGGATGTTTCAGGAATAACTAGCGATTGAGCCTTCGTCAGGACAGGCTCCTCTTCAACATTCTTTCCTTTATTCTCGGCAGCGGAAGTAGGGATAGGAATTATATTGTCTTTGTTGGCGGGTACACTTGTAGGTACAATTACTGGTGTAGAGGAAATCTTCGGAATGGCCACGGGTCCAAAGACTGCTGTTGGAGGAGCAATCTCTGGAGAAAAGATTCTTCCACTATGGGTAACTTTGCTTGTTCCGGCAATGTTACTGATTTCGGAATCGTCCTCTTTGGAGCTTTCGTCTTCGGCAATTTATTCAATCTGTTTGACACCATGGTAGTAGATTTCTCTACCATAGTTCCATGGTACCATTTTATCTGATTTATATGGGGTTGGCCCGGGCATTGTTATCTTCAATGGAGTAGTCATAGGAGCAGATGTAATCCTAACGGGTTTTTTAGGAACCCTAGAAGGATTGGCGTATATGGTTATTATTGAAACTTCTAGAACTGCAATGGGTGAGACAGGAGCTTTATCGAACAAGATTTCTCAGTTATCAATCAATTGTTGGATTCCTTTCTTCAACAGAGGACAGTCAAATGATGAGGACAGACAAGTATGGAAATCTTGGTCACAACCTAGGAACACCCCAGCTTTCAAAAAATTCAACTTGATGGTTAGGAGAGGAGTTAACAGTTCATCCACATTAGAAACAAACAGATCTTCTTCCACATCATTGGCATTGTGTCCATGCCTAGGCATCAGAGCGGAGATAACATTCGGTTTCTCAGGAGATTCAAATTCAACTTCCTTTGCGTCGATCAGGTCTTGAATCTTGTTCTTCAGAGTCCAACAGTTGTTGGTGTCGTGCCCTGGACTTTCAGAATGGTACGCGCATCTGGCGTTGGGATGGTAATGTGGAGAAGCAGTGTTAGGATTTTTAGGGGCCTCTTTTAGCATGGCCAGGTTCAACTTCAAGAGATGTGGTAGGACTTGAGCAGGAGTCATGTTTATCTTGGTGAATTATCATACAGGCCTTTCCACCCTGTAGCGGTGAAAATCGGAGATCAAGCTATTAATTAACTTGACTCACAAAAGCAAGAGTCGCCACCGCGCTTTATTATTTCCAAGGGAAAAGGGAAAAGAGCGAAATAAAACCCTAAAATATGCAATGTATAATAATACTTAAAAGTAATGAAAATACAATGCGTTTTGAAAAGAGGTCGAGAGTTCGGGGGTTGGTTATACAATGGGAAGGTATTAGCACCCAATGCATCTGCGGTACTCCGCGGGAACCTTTTGAAATATCTGCTTTTTGTTTAAATTGTTTGTTTGATAAAAATGGTTCGTTTGGCTAAAAAATGGGTATGGACGAGATTTTGAAGATGTGACGACCTAGTGTCGAAGTTTTGACTTAAAAAAGGTGTGAGTTTGAAATTTGAATCTTTTAGGAAAATCGACTTAATTTTGGAAAAAATAGTAAGTAGGAAAAAAATGAATGAGGGTATTCGCTTGATCGTATCAGATATTTGATGACATGAAGTCAAGAAAGTTAAAATATTTTCCTTGGAATTAATCATAAGCAGGTAGATCTAATATTCGAGTAAGAAATCATAAATAATTAAAATCCACGAGAAACGAACAAGGTAGATAACAAGATAATTGTAAGAAACTAAATGAATGGACAAAGAAGAATCATGAATAAAAGAAAAGTGTAATTAAAAAATTATCTAAACTAATTTGAAATTCTAAGGTTACTAAGTAAACTAAACCTAAATTCTAAAGTGTCTAATTAAATTAAATAAAATTTTGAAGTTATTAACTAAAACTAAATTAAAATTCTAAAGTTACTAACTAAAAATTCGAAATTTATTAAATTAAATCTAAAATAAATTAACACTCTAATATTACTGAATTAGGTCTAAACTAAATTAATTCTAAAGTTGCTAATCTAAAAAAAAACTCCAAAGTTACTAAACTAAATCTAAATCAAATAAAATTCTAAAAGAATATTAAACTAATTCTAAACAACTAAAATTCTAAACTTATTAAATGAAATAAAATTCTAAAGTTATAAAATAAAACTAAAACAAAATAAAATTCTAAAGTTATTAATTATGATTCTAAATATTTTAAAGTTATAAAATAAATCTAAACTAATTAAAAAAAATTCTAAATTAATATTAACCTAAATCTAAATATAAGATTTACTATATATTTTTATATATTTTTTTTTTAAAACGCAAGCATTATATTCCTCTATAATCACAATAACAAGTTTGCAAGTTTACAGAGAAAAAGAATCCTCTTTCTATTCACTTTGGATGTTCATCTCCTTCTTCCTTCCTCATATCCACACAAATCAAACTTTATTTTTTACAGAAATCAAATGAAAAGAAGATATCTTCGATAGATCAAATAAAGAACAAAATAAGTATGGCAAAGGAAAAGCGAAATACCGATCAGAAATTGAACGTGAGTGGCGGTCTGGCGTGTTGTCCATGTCGAAATCGGATCCGGTAATTGGATGGATGCGCGTCGATTTGGCCAGAACAACAACAAGGGTGTGCGGTGGAGGACCCAGGTAGATTCACGGTGGCATTACAGGAGTGGTGGTGGTCGGTTGCGCTGAGGTGCCAGTGGTGAAGGAAGACGGTTGCGATCGCCAGTTGCGGTTGTTGTTGTTGGAGATGGAAGGAGGAGAATTGGTCGTCAGTGGTGCAGTTTTCTAAATGCCTCGTAGACATAATTTACCTGTTTACAACTTGATAGAAAGACAATTGTTTTGAACTGTAGATGAGTCTTTATGAAAGTCCACAGCATATCTAACTTTTGATCCAGAGGAACAATCATCACAATTTGCTTCAAGAGAGAAGGAGTGGCATCCACAGACTCTTCGTGTACACTCAGATACTCTGGGTCCTTCAAACTTAGTCTTGCAAGATCTTGAACTGACTTCGTTTGAGTTGCTGAGAAAAGCATAGTCTGCCTACGTTTTGGTAACTGTGAGATGATTGCATTTAGTGCCCTCTTGAATCCACTGTCAAGAATACGATCAGCCTCATCTAGTACCAAAACCTGCAACTTTAGTAAACCATGTTTGTGTAGAATAGCAGGTGAGGAGCAGACGGCCCCGTATATTCTTCCAGCTGAATTTTGTTCTTTTAGAAGCTTCTTCAGAATTCTAGATTTGCTTAGCCTTTGAGTGCCAGCAGTTCCTCCCGGGAGAATAATCAAATCATGTGCTGACTCTTGAACATCACTAAGTAACTTATCAGCAACAATTTTGGTTCCTTGAGAAGCCATAACTCCAAGATTTTTCTCAACAGAAGCAACTATGACATTAGCTTTTGCTCGCCTTAGAATATCTATCAGTGTCACTACTTCAATCTCTTCAGAACCATGTGCAATTGGGATGAGAACACTGGGAGGATGGTGACCAACAGACCACTCAATTTCATTGAACTCCTTCTTAGATACATTATCATCACTGGTTCTCATCAACAAGAATTCAGCAACCTCCCTTGCAACAATGAGCTGATGAACCCACTCTTCATAAACTTCACCCAAATGACCAACCAAATGAATCCAAAGAAGCGGTTCTACTACTGTTGAATATGGATCTGCTACCACTACCAGCAGCACCGTTGCTAGCAACCCAAGGATCTGGCCAAAAAAACACTTGAAACTCTTGGACCTTCGTAAAGAAGACGGAGAATGTTGTCGTTGAGGTATGTTGTGAAAATCTTCACTGCTGATGTTACTCGAGTTAGAGGTACTATTGTTGTTGGTTTCATCAGTAGTAGTGTTTCCTCCTCCAACAACATTGAACAAAGCACAAGCAGTAGCCATATTGAGATGAAGAAAGAAGATGAATATTGAGTATGGGTTCAGTTCGAAAAAAAGACATAGTAGTAGTGTTGTGTTGGTTTTAAGAGGAAAAAAACCATGTGTTGGTTCCAAAGTTACAAGGAGATCACGTTGTGAAGATTGAGACAGTAGCTAAAGGATTCTCCTCTCTCATAGGACTGAATAATTGAATTAAAAAAAATGAAAGGATTCTCTCTCTATGGACTATAACATAATAGAACCCGGTTCTCTATGCCTTTTTGCCTTTTTTGATGTTTCTGATATCTCCCTCTTTTTTGGCATGGGGAGGGTAGCAAGTGTGGAGAGAGGGAGTATTACTGGGTGAGTTGTTTTTGTTTTTTTTTTGTGTTTTTGTATCGATCCTCAACTCTTGCTTACAACCAATGAGAGCAAAGCAAAGTGTAACAAACATTTTTTTATGACAGAAAAGCCCTTTAATGATAAAAATAACTTAAAAACCTAAAAGTATAAAATTAACTCAATTTAAAACAAATTATATTTATTTTTGAATATAAAAAATAGAGACCCAAGATGACTAAAAACGGTAAAAAATGGACAAAAATCTATCCGAAAAAATGAAATGAACACATTAAAATAAACTACACGTCTCAAAGATAAATGAAAAAAATATTAAAATGATCAAAATCGAAGTAAAATGATAATTAAAATATCAGGCTAAACAGGCGTTTACGGTTAAAAACGAGACTTCGAACTGTACCGAAAAAATAAAGCGAGCATACCGTCATAATCTACGCGAAGCGCTGATTCATAAAATGAACGGTAAAAGGTGAAAACTTGAAATATTTTTCTCGCTAATTTTTCGTACATTGTTGAATCGCTTTTAACAGTTTGTCTATAAAACCAAAATATTTTTGTTATCGACATATAAACAACTTGGAGCAATGCAAGAAACGAGTAAAGAGATAAAAATGCATGAAGTGAAATGTCAGGTAAAGACGATGCAAACTTTTGATTTAAACTGACTTTTCTGGTCAACTTAAATACGACTAATGATGCAAAATATGATGAGTGAAGATATTTACTAATGATTGTGACCAAATGACAAAATATGGTATGAATGTGCGACTGAAAAAATTAGGGGCGACATTTAGGGTGCAACGGTGTGCCTTGATGAATCAGTCTTCGAGAATCCACAATCAACCGTACTTCTGGCTTGGGAGAACCAAAACCTTAATTGAGGCGCGACACCTGATGCTCTTGATTCAGACCTGTCTCTACACATGACACAAAAGAAAACATGAACATACACCTTTGTATGCGATTAGAAATTAGTGATACATATGCTAAAAACGTTCAAAACACTTGACAATCTTCGCATAGTCGAAGCTCGAAGGTGAGACGTTAAAACCGACCGTATTTCTTGACCTTGACTTATCTTTAAAAATGCAAAAATAAAAATGGGATCTTAGGTCAAAAATTGGGGTACAACAGCTGCCCCTATTTAAGTTTCTTCTATCTGGAGATATGAAGATTGAGATCTTCATTTCGACGAGATTGAAGGGACTTAAATATAGAATACACAATTTTTGGCCTTAAGATACCGCGATTATGTTCATGATATGATATGAATGTAATGCTCTGCATTTTATGGGGAATGACGCCATATGAAACAGACTATGCTGGAGAAACCAAGCACATTATACAATAATCCCACAGAGGAAGAGGTTATAACTCCACTGGGGAAACAAAGTCATAGACTTCAAATGAGAGACTCTTGAATGATTTACATCAGTGTTGAGACTGGAAAAGAGATGATTTACATCAGTACGAAGACTGGAAAAAGAAATGATTTACATCAGCATTGTGACTGGGAAAGGAAATGATGGACATCATCACTGAGACTGGAAAATGATTGACATCAGCACTGTGGCTGGAAAACAAAATGATTGACATCAGCACTGTGGCTGGAAAATAAAATGATTGACATCAGCACTGTGGCTGGAAAATAAAATGATTGACATCAGCACTGTGGCTGGAGATAAACATCTCTGATTTCTGAATTTTACCAAGAACGGTAACACATTTCTTCTTTAACTAAGATATCGCTTGAAAAGGATAAAATAACAAACTTCCCCACGGGACTTTCCGAAGGGATGCCATTTGCTGAGTAAACATTATTGTTGGGGATACAAGCTACTCAAATAAAGAGGCCGCCACTTGCTTCCTTTCAAAGGTGTCAATAACATACAAGCTGCTCATGAAGAGACCGCCACTTGCTGTCTTCAAAGAATATTAAAGCACACAAGCTGCTCATGAAGAGTCTGCCACTCGTTGTCAATAACCCACAAGCTGCTCATGAAGAGCTGCCACTTGCTGTCTTCAAAGAATATTAAAACACACAAGCTACTCATGAAGAGTCCGCCACTTGTTGCCAATAACTCACAAGCTGCTCATGAAGAGCTGCCACTTGCCATCTTCAAAGAATATTAAAGCACACAAGCTACTCATGAAGAGTCCGCCACTTGTTGCCAATAACCCACAAGTTGCTCATAAAGAAGCTACCACTTGCCGTTTTCAAGGGAACAATAACACACAAGTTGCTCATGAAGATAAGCTGCCACTTGCTGTCTTTCAAAAATACTAACGTACAAGCTGCTCATGAAGAAGCTGCCACTTGCCGTTTTCTGTACAAGCTGCTCATGAAGAGACCGCCACTTGCCGTTTTCAAAAAGTGTTGATAACATACAAGTTGTCCATGAAGAGACTGCCGCTTGCTGTTTTTAAAAAGTGTTGATAACATACAAGTTGTCCATGAAGAGACTGCCGCTTGTTGTTTCTTTTCAAAATTACCAATAACACACAAGTTGCTCATGAAGAGACCGCCGCTTGTTGTTTTCTTTTCAAAATTACCAATAACACACAAGTTGCTCATGAAGAGACCACCGCTTGTTGTTTTCTTTTCAAAATTACCAATAACACACAAGTTGCTCATGAAGAGACCGCCGCTTGTTGTTTTCTTTTCAAAATTACCAATAACACACAAGTTGCTCATGAAGAGACCGCCGCTTGTTACTTATAACCCACAAGCTGCTCATGAAGAGCTGCCACTTGCTGTCTTCAAAGAATATCAAAGCACACAAGCTACTCATGAAGAGTCCGCCACTTGTTGCCAATAACCCACAAGCTGCTCATGAAGAGCTGCCACTTGCTGTTTGTCAAGAGTATCCATAACACACAAGTTGCCTTGTGAAGAGACTGCCGCTTGCTGTTTGTCAAGAGTATCCATAACACACAAGTTGCCTCATGAAGAGACTGTCGCTTGCTGTTTCCCAAAAGATACACATAAAATATCGTGAAGATATTGTCGGAGGTGAGAACCAATAATTTCATCGAGGATGGACAAACTGCTCATGAAGAGACCGCCATTTGTCATAAAGAAATCAGAAATAATCAAACTGCTCAAATAAAGAGTCAGTCGCTTGTTGTCATGTCGATATTCCATAAGAAGGTTGTGATAACACTGCTGGGGAATAAAGTTCATCTTCAATGGGGAACCATGAATAAATCCTTCTTGAGGAGACCAAGTATTTACGTTGCAAAATAAATGCACTCTCCATCTAGGTTTCACAGCCTAGAGAGATCCACAGGGTATCGTTCACAAGAGACAAAGCTCAATCCAGGAATAAACTGGAGAGAAAATAGTCAAACAAGACTCCACCCAATGAGGAAACAACTCAAATGGGGATTTATCCTATCCAGAGATGGAAAAGGAAAGCTAAAGCAAGATTCTTCCACGAGAGTTAACTCAGTGGGGAATGAGAAAGGAGGCGCACTTTCTGCTTAAGTTGACACTCTATTTGGAAAGATCAAATACGCTATTTGAATAGACATAACCAAGGTATACGTACTCAAAGACATCAACAAATACAACTGTGCATGCATGATGCATGTGTGAATGAATAAATGAATGTCATGTATATGCTGACAAAACAGACAAGGGAGATAGACAGAAGATGATAAGACATCACAGTACAACTCGACACTCGGCTAATCTCAACAGGATGGTAACATTACTGGAGATAGAAAACAAAAGCCATCGTTGGAGCAAAGTCTTTTTACAAGGCTTAAATATCTATGGAGGGGAAGATATTTTTCGGTAGAAAGCCCAAAGTTCAGTCTTCTATTACTAACAATCCATTGAAAGGATAACACCACAAACAAAGTTTCAGCTGGAAAGAAGTCTTGCTTAGTTGGAGACACTGGGAGCACCACCCTCTGATAATGTATGAAAAACATATCTTGACAAATCTGGATTGCCCCTGGGATTAATTTTGGATGCCCCAAGTTTACTGCTGATAAGCTGCGTGACGATTCTTGCGAATAACTTCACTTCTAAAATGCCCCAAGCTATATGGTTGATGAGGAGAAATCGTCTCAAGAGGATTTTACAAAAGACCTGGCATTCACTATGCTCTGGTGTCTTCAAACTCTTAGAGAGATTCATCAAATCTCGACGTGATTGCCCCGGATTGATTGTAGTTGGCACAACAAAGTCTTCAAATTTTTCCCCAAAAGAGTAAACAAGTTGGGAAAGCATTAATTAGGAGAAGCAACATGTCTGTGCTTAAGGTCTTCAGGTGACATGCCCCTGCATATGATTTTTTCTTGAAATGATCCGCCAATTACTCAACAGAGCTTCAGGCCTTAAGAATAGACTCATCACTGGTGCTTATATGTGAGTTTCCTTGATATCAAACAAATGTTTTGCAGTTAGAAAATTTTATTATGAGAATGAAAATTCTAATGCAACAGTTATGTAAGTCTTGAAGATTTTGAAAAGATATCGCACAAATTTTGCGAGTTAGAGCACCATTTATTTTTGTATAGGAAAAACATATGATACCAACATAACTATTTAGAACATTCATGGGAGTCAGGAACACTATCTCATTGAAGTATGCTTTCAAAATAACCTTGCTTCAATTAGGACTTTTGAAGGTTGTAATGTGGTCTGGTTCATG